TATAAATCACGCTTTAGGCCTCACACTGCCCATTATTCAATTAGCCAAATGCTACAATTGCATCAAGATGGTGAAGACAATTAGGTTAAAATGGTTATCCGGCTCGCTAAGCATATCCATGTTCAAGGTGAATAGAAAAATATTCAATTGTACAAACTGTAATCTTTTAAGAGCTAATTTGGTGGTTAATGAGGCCAATCTAGTTTGGGTAATTTATGGTTGATGGGAAGGGCAGGAAGGCCAGCAGGAGAGCAACTCTGTGGCTGCTTGAGATAAAGCTCATTTCTGGAGTATAAAAAGGTTTTACAAGGTCCATCTCTACACTTATCAACTATCTCTAGACTGATCAGCACAATTAAGACCTAAGCCCACAACCTTATCGTCATTTTTGTAAGGAGTACAATCACTTGTTATTTTAAGGGCTGTGCATGTGCAGCACTACTAGCCCTGACAGTGTGAGAAATATCACAGTGTAACTAGTCCACCTGTGTAGATATCTGCGCTGGACTTCATGCGTGGGAAGCAGCGGGCCGCTGAAAGGCTGCATTGCCATTTACCCACTTTGGTGTAATTGCAGCGTTTGCTCTCAGATACCCATCATCTCCCTAAGTGCTCCATTCATACACACTCTGTTTAGCCTGACAAGAGCAACTACGCAGGGTTGATTGCTTTACAATAGCAGTTCAAAATATTAATCTGACTCAGTTCAGTGATTTAAGTGAGTATTTGGCTAACATGGAGGGTGGGTTTCCTCCCCGTCATTGACTTGTCAGTGAAACCCCCACTTAAACAAAGAGGGTCTGTGATTACACTACCTAGCTGCTCTACAGGACAGCTGATGGAAACAGAGTGCAGACACCTGATTGCCTGACTGGTTCAGGAACAGAAATGGTGGGGGGATTTCACATGGGGAATCGCTACCATAAGGATTTCTATTGTAAGAGCGCTTAAGTGTTTACATGTCCTGTCATTACTACATGGAAATGGAAACACAAAAACTAAATTGCTGGTAGCTGTTTATTTATATGTATACCTTGACCAAGGCTGCACTTAAAGGCTATTACATATAGCCTAATAGACCACATGAATGAATAAACATTTTATTTATTAAGAGCATGTTTGTGAAACCTTACATTACAGTTTATAAACAGTTGCCATTGTCGTTGCAATGTTCCAGCGAGCTGTCTGAACATGACGCATTTGAAATCTCCATCAAAGAGAAATTACAGTAAGAGCTGGATTCAATCAAACATGCCAAAGTAGGCTTAGTGTTTATGCAGTTTCTGTTTCCACAACTAGCCTACTTCCTGCAAACACAAGTGTCTCAGTCTGAAAGTTGAAAAGGTAAGATGGATGTGCAGTACCCAAAAAATTCTGCTAGTGTATTTGAGTACGGGTGAGGGGCCTGAGTACCCCACTGTGTATATACTGGAATGCTGGTTTGACAATGTTGCTACGAGTGGAATTACAGCATCACACACACACGTAAGCACAACTGTGACTACTACTGTTACTACTACATCCCCTTTTGGCCTTTTAAATGAATGATTCTTGAAGAATATACCTTATAAATTCCTCAAGAGCTTAGTTCAACTGTCGTACCCCATCAGAACCCAAAATATTGCCTAAACTTGCTTGTAAATAATGTCATTATAAACACTGTATGGCCTCAAAACATGGTTAAAACTCTAATTTTGCATCATGGATGGTCAGTCCAGCCATAGCTCTGTCTATGAAATTGAGAGTGGTTACATTTCTCCAGCCCCAGCCCTCAACATTTTACCAAAACAGTGGCGGGGTGTTATTTTATTATTGTTTTAACAGCAGATTCCAGCTTTAATGTAAAGTATTAAAGCTTTTAATTATTGTGCTACGTTGCCGGTCTTCCAGCTTTTAATATGTTTTATTTCAGCATTTGGGGTTGAAGCAATTTACAATATTATGGTATTATATAAAGCAATACCGTAATATACAGTACCAGTCAAAAGTTTGGACACACCTACTTATTCAAGGGTTTTTGTTTATTTTTACTATTTTCTACATTATAGAATAATAGTGAAGACATAACAACTATGAAATAATACATACGGAATCATGTAGTAACCAAAAAAGTGTTAAACAAATCAAAATATTTTATATTTGAGGTTCTTCAAAGTAGCCACCCTTTGCCTTGATGACAGCTTTGCACACTCTTGGCATTCTCTCAACCAGCTTCATGATGTAGTCACGTGGAATGCATTACAATTAACAGGTGTGCCTTGTTAAAAGTTAATTTGTAGGGGTCTTAAGGTAGGGTTGGTATACAGAAGATAGCCCTATTTGGTAAAAGACCAAGTCCATATTATGGCAAGAACAGCTCAAATAAGCAAAGAGAAACGACAGTCCATCATTACTTTAAGACATGAAGGTCAGTCAATCCAGAACATTTCAAGAACTTTGAAAGTTTCTTCAAGTGCAGTTGCAAAAACCATCAAGTGCTATGATGAAACTGGCTCTCATGAGGACCGCCACAGGAAAGGAAGAACCAGAGTTACCTCTGCTGCAGAGGATAAGTTCATTAGAGCTACCAGCCTCAGAAATTGCAGCCCAAATAACTGCTTCACAGAGTTCAAATAACAGACACATCTCAACATCAACTGTTCAGAGACTGCGTGAATCAGGCCTTCATGGTCGAATTGCTGCAAAGAAACCACTACTAAAGGACACCAATAATAAGAAGAGACTTGCTTGGGCCAAGAAACACGAGCAATGGACATTAGACCGGTGGAAATCTGTCCTTTGGTCTGATGAGTCCAAATTTGAGATTTTTGGTTCCAACCACCGTGTATTTGTGAGACGCAGAGTAGGTGAATGGATGATCTCCGCATGTGTGGTTCCCACCGTGAAGCATGGAGGAGGAGGTGTGATGGTGCTTTGCTGGTGACACTGTCAGTGATTTATTTAGAATTCAAGGCACACTTAACCAGCATGGCTACCACAGCATTCTGCAGTGATACACCATCCCATCTGGTTTGGGCTTAATGGGACTATCATTTGTTTTTCAACAGGACAATGAACCAACACACCTCCAGGCTGCGTAAGGGCTATTTGACCAAGAAGGAGAGTGATGGAGTGCTGCATCAGATGACCTGGCCTCCACAATCCCCCGACCTCAACCAATTGAGATGGTTTGGGATGAGTTGGACTGCAGAGTGAAGGCAAAGCAGCCAACAAGTGCTCAGCATATGTGGGAACTCCTTCAAGACTGTTGGAAAAGCATTCCAGGTGAAGCTGGTTAAGAGAACGCCAAGAGTGTGCAAAGATGTCATCAAGGCAAAGGGTGGCTACTTTGAAGAATCTCAAACATAAAATATATGTTGATTTGTTTAACACTTTTTTGGTTACTACATGATTCCATGTGTGTTATTTCATAGTTTTGATGTCTTCACTATTATTCTACAATGTCAAAAATAGTAATAATAAAGAAAAACCCTGGAATGAGTAGGTGTGTCCAAACTTTTGACTGGTACTGTATGTGCAATAAGGCTACACCCTAGATAGAGCCTCTCATTGTGCAGTGACTAGAATTACATAAAAAATCCATCTAACACTTGTTTTAAATGGCAAGCTCTTGGCAAGCTTTCTTGGGACAGTTGGTCAATGGGCGGACAGTGAAGGAGTTACAGTAAGAGGCGCTAAAGTTCAGGCAGAAGTGTTGCAGGCAGCACTCTATGTCCTGCCAACAGCCTTACGGTGGCGCAATGCCTGACTAAGTTGTTGACCCATGGCCCCCACCTGCCCTGTCCGTGCAGCATCTCTCGGCCACCCAGGGGGCCCATCAAGTCTCCCTCCGCACTGCCCACCAGAAACAGAAGGCCTTTGACTCATGCCCATCTGTCCTGGTAGTATGTAAGGGAAAGCCAAGGTAGTGGGATCCTGGTGACTTAATGTGCCCTCTCAAGAGAAGTAGCCCATCTTATGAACTGAAAAGTGAAGTTTGGCCACAAACAACCTTTCAAAGAATGCAGATTTCCCTATGACTCATCATAGGGGTAAAAACTGGCAAAATGCACAACAAACCTTCCCTGCTGTTCCATTGAATTTTTAACCATCAAGGGCTCACTAAGAAAAGGTGGGTCGACACACACACACACAGCGTGTTAGAGAAGCAAGACTTACCTGGCCAGGTTGAATATCTAAGCAGCGGAGCACTTCTTTAAGCATGACAGGTGTGTGCAGTGTCTGTTCAGCCAAGATGGTGGAGTCCTCTTTACGTCTGTCCTGGTGACCAGGCTCCAAGGGAGCAAAGCCCGAGTAGGACAACCTACTCCCCTTCCATGGCTGGCTGACTCTACAAGCAGCATCAAGACCCACTCTCCATGATGATCTCAAGGTGATACAAGCAGACACATGCTGGCATGCCATGGTCTGGTCTGAAGAGAATTGGAAGGGGACATGATGAGAGTGGCATGACAAACACACAGCAGCTTTATAAGATACTGTTCTAGATAATGCAATAACGGCCACTAATTGTGGATGACAGAAAGAATGGTATTAGATAGCTACAATATGTAGCTAACATAAAAGATAAGCCATTGATCCGTTATTTCTATTTAGTTATCCAGCTACAGTAAATTGTTAGCTACTTAGCCAACTACACAGTGATCCAAATCAAAGTGGGCTACAGGGCACCTTTTTACAGTAGAGTTTTGTTTAGCTAACTTGGCAGCTACTAGCATTAGACAGCTACTAGCTAGCTATTCTCAGGCGCATCTTCATAAAAAACTATCGGGAAAAGTGTACGGACATGTGCGTTCCGTTCAGCTGTAGTAGCTAGTTAGTAGTTTGTGTTACAACACCTTGAATAGCTTGCAACTGGACGATGCAAATTGTACTTAGGATATTGGTCTTGACGCAATAATGTTAGCTCTGTGCCAAAACGGTTTCAATTATATGATACAAACCAAATTTGCTAGCTAATAGCTGGCATACGAACAGAGTTTTTAAACCACTTCTTCCTCATGCACTGTAACACCAACCTCATCGACGTCACTCGTAGTGCATAGCCAATCAGCTGTTACGAAGGAAGAGGGGGCTTGTTTTTGAAAAGACGCGCTGGTCTTGGGAGAAAAAGTAGCCTTGGCTGTACTAGTTAGCGAGCCACAATTGCAAATGTGAAACATTATAGTCAAAGGTAAGCTGTGGATGTATTATACTTTGCTCCTGAGCAGAAGTAATGTTTACGATGTATTTTAAACTCGCAGTACTTGCTGTTTTCGCTCAGAGGGGAGCTTATATGGCTCTTTGTTGACTGCTAATGGTTAGTTAGCCAGTGACGAGGCAATACGGGCGACGACTACACGACACATTCAAGTCGCCCTGTTCTGAATGTAACAACATATTTGTATATGTTCACTGCTTAAAATGTAATGTTGTCGAATGCAAGTAGCTAGCTATGTTATTATTACACAAAGCCTGGTCTCTGCTCCACTCCGTTGGTGGAGTTCATCAGAAACATCCTTCACCTTGGAGTTTAGTCAGCTAAAGCCTCTTCCTTGTGATCTCTCAACTAGATCAATACACAGGGAGAAGAGTCATGGACGTGTGCAGCCATGTCAAAGTGGTTGTTCGTGTGCGGCCAATAAACGACAATGAGAAGTGCGAGAACTTCAGGAATGTGGTCCAAGTTGTGGACAACCACATGCTAATATTTGACCCCAAGGAACAGCAAATTACATCTTTCGGGGGACCAAGAGTTCGAAACAGAGATGTCAACAAGAGAGCCAATAAGGACCTGAAATTTGTCTTTGACAATGTTTTTGGGGAGGATTCTTCTCAGGTGGATATTTTTGAGAACACCACTAAAAGGATACTTGATGGAGTGTTGAATGGCTTTAACTGTACAGGTAATAAAATGGGCCTAAGCCTACTAATCTATACAGGAATACACCATCTGATTAGTAGGCCTATGGCTATGTGCACATTGAGACAGACTTCGTGAAAACAGTGTTGCAAACAGCCTGATTTAAATTAATGTCATAGTATAGAGGCCCATTTTAGAAATGTTAATTAGTATGCTGCACTAGCCTACATCTTTATACCCCAGTTAAATTCCAAAACTTTTGGTTTCACATTTAAACCTACCAAAATCAGATGTATTTTAATTTGAAGTGGAAGTTTTGATATTGTTTAATTACTAATCCTTCTCTGAAACGTTGCAGTCTTCGCTTATGGCGCAACAGGAGCAGGCAAGACACACACCATGTTGGGCTCAAGCAATGACCCGGGTGTGATGTATCGCACCATGACGGAGCTCTTCAACCGTATGGATCAAGTCAAGGAAGAGAAAATATTCGATGTAGCATTTTCTTATCTTGAGGTGACTCTTTGGTTTTGTCTGTCTGATTTTTTCAGTTAATAAATGTACACAGAAATCAAGGAAAAATATTCCTCCACCATACCTGGGAATTAAAGAAACATTTTATTAATGAATCAGAATTTGAATGTCTTTAAATTGTCATTAGAAAGAAGTCACGTTTTTGTCATAACTGGTTTGCAGGTCTATAATGAGCAGATCCGGGACCTCTTGGCTAATGTGGGACCTCTTGCAGTGAGGGAGGACCCCTCGAAAGGAGTGGTTGTCCAAGGCCTTACTCTGCACCAGGTTAGTGAGAAACAGGTTATTTGTTGTCTGTCAGCTGTGTTTGTTGTTGTTTTTTCCATAGTTGAATGAATTTACATCTATTTTTTATGTATGTGTACTGATTTTATTTGTTTAAATGGAGCCATGTGACCTCTTCTGTAGCCTAAGTCTGCTGAGCACATCCTTGAAGCTTTGGATTATGGCAATCGGAATAGAACGCAGCACCCCACCGACATGAATGCCACCTCGTCACGATCCCATGCTGTATTTCAGGTAGGCTATTTCAATGGAGTGGAGTCATCTACCTTTCCTCATTTTACCAGACGGCAAGCGGGTTTACCCACTGCAGTCACTGGACAGGTGAAGATGAAATTGTTGGTGTTCTTGTCCCCCTAGATTTACTTGAAGCAACAGGACAGGACGGCCAGCCTTAATCCAAATGTCCGTGTGGCCAAAATGAGCCTGATTGACCTCGCTGGCTCCGAGCGAGCAAGTGCCACTAACGCAAAGGGAGCACGTCAACGGGAAGGCGCTAACATCAACCGTTCACTCCTTGCCCTGGGAAATGTCATCAACGCTCTGGCTGACCCTAAGGTATGTGTAAAGCATCTTGATGCATGTTTCTGATTGAATAGGACCTTCAATTATTCAAAGAAAATGTTGCCGCGCACAGACTTCAATATAATTCAAAAAGGTGGTTGATCTTTTGACAATACCACCCACAGGCATTTCGGTGTGACTCGTAAGCAATGTTGAACAGGCCTGTGTGCTGCTACCTCACTACTGAGAATACACAAACTTATGTCTAGATTTAACTCTAAGACAGGGGTGTCAAACTCATTTTGCTCCGGGGGCCGCATTCGGTCTTCGAGGTCCAGAGGGACGCACTGAAACGGGGACACAGTCAAGAAACTGTATGAATGTAGGACCATTATCATTTCTACACAGTTTCGATTTGGTTTAAGTCATTTTAAACTATTGAGTTCGTTCCCGAACTCATGCGTGCATACATTTTACGTATGGGTGGTCCCAGGAATCGAACCCACTACCCTGGTGTTACAAGTGATTTACATTTACATTTTAGTCATTTAGCAGACGCTCTTATCCAGAGCGACTTACAGTTAGTGAGTGCATACATTTTAATACTGGCCCCCCGTGGGAATCGAACCCACAACCCTGGCATTGCAAACGCCATGCTCTACCAACTGAGCTACATCCCCTGATTTCATATGTTTATCTCACCAATGAATGGTATTAGGGTTATCCCTTGCTGAAGTTCATTTTCTCTGTGCCAGTTGATTCCTGTTGTCACCCTGTGCATTTTTTAAGATTCTTTTTTTCTTTGGGAAATTTAGGGTGGTCTAGTCTAATTTATTCTGCCTTCATTTTGTTTGTAGTGAGCAGCTCCCTGTGACTCAAGGAGTCTTGCTTGGTCTGTTAGCTAGCCAAGTATTTGGGTAATATTTCATACCAGTTGTCACTGAATCGTCTCGGTTTACCACTGTCCCTGGTGAGTCCACAAGCAGGCCACTTGCATTTAGGAAATGCTGCACAAACGTGCCACCGCTGTTCCTAAATGTTTTTTTATTTTTCATGGCACCGTTGTTCGCTTTAGGGAATGATAGGACTGGTCCCATGGCCATGAATTGCAGTTGCACATTTAGCCTTTGTGGTTTTCTCCACTGGCCCATTTCCTCTCTCTCAGGCTGTTTCTCTGTACATTGTAAATCCTGCTCTGACGAAAGACTCGCTCTGCTTAATTGGGACAACCTCCTTTTAGCTGCAAACTTTGAGCTCCCATAGGATCGACTGGAAATATAAGGGTTTCCTGATTCCAGATGTAGGGTTCGGCCAGGGAGAACAGCTGGGCAGCCCCCAGCTCATTGCAGATCACTTTTCCTCTGCAAGTTCCTGGTAATTCCTGCCATTTGAATCTCCATGAGACTGTGACTCACCTGAACAGATGTAATGTACTCAAGATGCATCTGTGCCATTAGTGAAGCCAGGCTGAATTCAGACCTAGCACATTCACACCAGCAGAAGATAATTTGATTGGGAGTTTTCATATTCTATAGAAATTAAAGGTATCTGTCTGCCAGAAACCTGTTTATGGAAACAAATAGTTAGTCTGCCAAAGTAAAAAAAAAAAAAAAAAAGTCTATATACAAAACATTAAGAACACCTTCCTAAAATTGAGTTGCAATATTTTTTGCCCTCAGAACAGCCTCAATTCGTCGGGGCATGGACTCTACAATGTGTCGAAAGCGTTCCCCTGGGATGCTGGCTCATGTTGACTCCAATACTTCCCACAGTTGGCTGGATGTCCTTTGGGTGGTGGACCATTCTGGATACACATGGGAAACTGTTGAGCATGTAAAACCCAGCAGTGTGGCAGTTCTTGACACAAACTGGTGCGTCTGGCACCTACTATCATACCTCGTTCAAAGGCACCTAAATATTTTGTCTTGCCAATTCACCCTCTGAATGGCACACATACACAATCCATGTCTCAATTGTCTCAGCTTAAAAATAATTATTTAACCTGTCTCCTCTCCTTCATATACACTGATTGAAGTGGATTTAACAAGTGACATCAATAAGGGATCATAGCTTTCACCTGGTCAGTCTGTCATGGAAAGAGCAGGTGTTCTTAATATTTTGTACATTCAGTGTATATGACTATTCTAAAACGGCCCACTAGACAGCCTTATTAGTGTGTTGTCCCATTGTCACTGGGCATTTACTGTATGCTAAGGGGTCATATGACTGTTGGAATGAATTGGTATAAATAAAAAAGCATTTTATGTTCAGTGAGGTTTTTCAGACCTTTCCCCACCCCAAACCTGAATGTGTAGGTCTAACCTTTTCCTGTTTTCCGCTTTTACTCTTTTCGCAGGCTAATGTTGCTTTTGCTTTATTTATTTTAGCAGAGTAAGAAAGCCCACATACCATACAGGGACAGCAAGCTAACACGACTCCTTAAAGATTCTCTGGGCGGGAACTGCAGGACGGTCATGATCGCCAACATTAGCCCCTCCTCCAAATCGTATGACGACACCCACAACACACTGAAATACGCCAACAGGGCCAAAGAGATCAAATCATCGGTCAGTAAACTACTCACCCATCCCAACAATGTTCTAGGATTTACTTAGGCCTCTTTGGCTGTGCTCCCCTTAGTGGACCTTCATCTGTAATAAGCTCTGTGTTTTTTAAAAGCCGAACATGAGTTCAGAGAGGTAGTTTTGACAGTGGAACTTGTACTACATGGCATTTCTTACAATATTTCTCTGTTTGTAATGTCTTTCTCCCTCCTTACATCTTTACATGCATCCACCTGTCCTTTAGCTCAAGAGGAATGTTGTCAGCTTGGACAGTCACATCGGCCAGTATGCAGTGATATGTGAGAGGCAGCGAGAAGAGGTAATGGAAGACGAAGCACCCATCTCTACTACACTGACTGGAGGCCCTTAGGGTCAGAAAATGTGTGCATATACATTTCGCTGTCCTCTTTTTTTTTTTTGGCCTTCCTCCTCAGATAAAAGACAGATACTTTGTCTTGAAATAGGTGATTGTTTCTACCTGACCATTTTATCTACGGTTTATGCCGTTTCAGATCGTTCAGTTGAAGAAGAAGTTGAAAGAGTATGAGGAGAGGAAGATGGACCCTCTTGTTCCTGGAGGCCCTAATACCATCTCCATTCAGAACCAAACAGAGATTCACAAGTAAGCACTTATTTCTTGTGCCAGTGTGCATGCAACAAACAAAGGCAAAACATGTATTTATACAGTAATATAAGTTCTGTTATGCATAATATGCAACCACACTTGAGTGTTGTCCTTTAAACTTGTAGACTTTTAATTGAAATCCATAGATAATTTATCATGACGAGGAAAAGTACAAAGCCCAAGGACCTGGTGGGTGGAGAGTTTGCTCTGCATTTTTGATAGGGGCAGCTGTGAGCCACGTTAAAAAAAACAACAACAAAAACATTTACACATATCTATATTAGACACCCCAGAAAGCTAAAAAACTTCCTTCCTTCACTCCCCTCCAAGGGCTGCAGTGGCATCTGTTTAAAAAGGGAGGGGGGGGGGGGAGCTGAATGAGTCTCATTCCCACGCGTTTCATTCACCGGCATCAGAATTCACAACTCGCACAATGTGAGGCTCTGAAGAGAGGCAGCACGCTTCTCACACTATTAAAAATTCATCAGTCTGGCAAGGCCACGGCGGCTCCTACGTCACAGGGGTTACATTGGAGAGTGCAGTCACATCTCAGCGGCAGCTCTCCACTGTCTGTCTATTTATTTATTTACCTGCATACCCCTCTTCCTTTACCAGAATGAGACATTGTTGCAAGGCCTCTGCCTTATTGGGTAAAAGCTGCTGAGGGCGATCCAGGGCAGCAGCCTGATTTGAACACCGTTCAACCTGTTGAGTAGTACAATAGTACAATAACATGACATAGGATTTTTATTGAGGAAAGGCAAACACTAAAAACAGTATTTTATTAAGCAAAGACTCCATTTAACGATAACTGGCTGGTTGCCCCTTTTTTCTGGACAGGGTGTCAGAGTCCCTGCAGAGCATTTTCTCCAGCCGTACTCAGATCAGGAGGGAGCACCTTGTTCTGGAGCGGCAGCTGAAGGAGAATGAGTTACGTCAGCGCCACAGCGAGGAGTGGAACCAGCAGGCCCAGCTCTTCGGTGCCAAAGACAAGACTGAGAAGGTCTGAAAAAGGACCTGCTTTATATCACCTCACTTAGAAGACTCCCTCCCTCCTTATCAAATGTTATCACTGTCATTTTAGCCAGAAAATGGTTCCAGAAGGAGCATGTCTTTTACGATGTATCAGCGATAGATGGATGTTTAAAGCGCATACACTCCTTTGTCATATCCCCATCTGACAGGCTCTGTTGTTGTTGAATAGGCCACCTGCAAGCACGAGCGCAAGCTGGCCTCCCTCCTCACACAGCAGCAGCACATCCGCAAGAGGCTGGAGGAGGCTGAGCTGCGCTTCCTTGAGAACGACGGCTGGCTGCACCGCATGGAGAATGACATGAAGCTGCTGGGACAGGACTCCCAGCCACCAGAGGTGAGGGATCAGGAGATATGGTAGCGCTTGACCCAGGGGTTGGGGTGGTGTGGTATATGGGATTATTTTGTTCATGTAGTGGTAGGTGGAGATGTAGAGGAAGACTCCCTCCAGGATTTCCTTGATTCTGCGATCTCAATTTTTTTAGCAAAATCAACAATTCCCTGCATATTGTGCGAGGGTTTGCAAATTTGACCAATCACCGCACTATTTCCACATAAAACAGTAAAATCGTCACATTATTAACGCATAAAACAGACCTGTCACCGCAGTACAAAAAGAGGGCTTGCAATTTCAACCAATCGTTGCACATTTATAGCATAATATGTTTCAACCAAGCCACACGTCAACACACTTTTTCCCTCGTCAGCGCATTGTTGCCCACAAATATCACAGAAAATCCTCGCAAAATCCTGAAGGGATTGGGAATATTTATTGACAATGCTGCTAATTGTAAGCTACCTAAACTAAGCCATCTTTTTGGTTGCTGACACGCTGGATCGGAGTCATATAATAAACGACTTGCTAATTATACATAGAAATTGTCCTATTTACGGTTAAGGTGAACTATCCCTTTAAATATGTTATTTTCCATCTCCCAGAGTAAATTTTTAAAGGGATGGAACGCGTCACAGGAAGTTAGCTCAATGCTACCTTTCTTTGTGTGGGGGGGTGTTTGTTCTTGCAATTATGTCCCAACTGTTGTTGTGACAGTTTGTTTTCTTCCATCTGTTCTCCTGGTAATTAGAACTGTGCTTATTTTATTGCTCTTGTTCACTGGTGGATGACTGAGGTGAATGGATCAATGGTCTTTACGCATCCCTCACACAGCCAGTTACCTAAAACCATGTAGATGTTTTTTTTCTTTTCTCATCCCTCTTCTAGGAAGTGGCACAGAACAATGATTCATCCGCTTGTCAAATGTTCTCTCTGCTGTCGTTTCGTATAGTCTTTTACGTCAGAGGTGGATGACAGCTTTTCTTTTTTACCCAGAAGACAGGTTCTCAGAGATGACGCATGGCACAAAATAAACTCCTCAAGACTCATTGTCTTGTGCGTCACTGATGACTCCCTGCCAGCTTGTTCTCTAGCTGTGGTCAGGGTTACTCAATATGTTCCCTCGTGGTCATTTCACCAGCTCTTCCACTTTCCCCTTTCCCCCTCAGGTACTCCAGAAGGACCTTCGCTGCCACAGGCTCCAGCTACAGGTAGAGGACCTCAAGCAGCACATTGAGCAAATGACCCACCTCATCAGTCTCCAGGACCAGGAGAACAAACAGACTAAAAAGTAGGTCATTTTTCCTATTACAGGGTTAAACACGTAATGTTGTCACCATACCAGAATTTGGACTTCGATACCAATATTAATTGTATTATTTGATACTCGGTACCCCAGTGATACCACGGTAGAAAAATACCTCACTTACTGTATACAACATGTGGCCAAGCCAATGCTCCAGCTGGAGAGCTGCTGGGTAGGCAGGCTTTTGTTCCAGCCCTGCTCAAAAAGATCCTGTTGAGCAGCTGATTGCAAGATTCTGGTATGCTACAGCAGGGCTGGAACAAATGCCTGGCATTGCATGTCAGAGTTGAATCATCCACGTGTATCCACTGAAGACAGAGAGTGGAAATGCAGTGATATTAACATAAGATGGCGTTGGGGTTTGTCAGACCTTTCAGACCAATAAAGTAGACTTAAGTCAATCTGAGCCCGTACTCCACAACATCTGTTGTACAGATATTGCTACATGTTTTAGAAGGAATCTTCCGGCCTCAATCCTATACGAATGGGCAGATATGGGCAGGTAGACAGACAGGCATATTAAGATGGGAATGATATTAAATAATATTTATGAATAATTGAGTATCAGTCATGTGACTCACACTGTACTATGTGAGTATGAATGGCTGTGCGCCGTCCATACCTGTGTCATACATTACCTCCAGAGAATGTACAGTGTTGTTGTCGCTTACTCATATGAATTAGTGAATAGAGAGTATTAGTCATATGAATCATACTGTACTAGGTTTTGCATACATATGGAATGTATTTGGTCAATAACAAAAGTTTCTCAATACTTTGTTATATACCCTTTGTTGGCAATGACACAGGTCAAACGTTTTCTGTAAGTCTTCACAAGGTTTTCACACACTGTTGCTGGTATTTTGGCCCATTCCTCCATGCAGATCTCCTCTAGAGCAGTGATGTTTTGGGGCTGTCGCTGGGCAACACGGACTTTCAACTCCCTCCAAAGATTTTCTATGGGGTTGAGATCTGGAGACTGGCTGGGCCACTCCAGGATCTTGAAATGCTTCTTACGAAGCCACTCCTTCGTTGCCTGGGCGGTGTGTTTGGGATCATTGTCATGCTGAAAGACCCAGCCACGTTTCATCTTCAATGCCATTGCTGATGGAAGGAGGTTTTCACTCAAAATCTCACGATACATGGCCCCATTCATTCTTTCCTTTACACGGATCAGTCGTCCTGGTCCCTTTGCAGAAAAACAGCCCCAAAGCATGATGTTTCCACCCCCATGCTTCACAGTAGGTATGGTGTTCTTTAGATGCAACTCAGCATTCTTTGTCCTCCAAACACGACGAGTTGAGTTTTTTTACCAAAAAGTTCTATTTTGGTTTCATCTGACCATATGACATTCTCCCAATCCTCTTCTGGATCATCCAAATGCACTCTAGCAAACTTCAGACGGGCCTGGACATGTACTGGCTTAAGCAGGGGGACACGTCTGGCACTGTAGGATTTGAGTCCCTGGCGGCGTAGTGTGTTACTGATGGTAGGCTTTGTTACTTTGGTCCCAGCTCTCTGCAGGTCATTCACTAGGTCCCCCTGTGTGGTTCTGGGATTTTTGCTCACCGTTCTTGTGATCATTTTGATCCCACGGAGTGAGATCTTGCGTGGAGCCCCAGATCGAGGGAGATTATCAGTGGTCTTGTATGTCTTCCATTTCCTAATAATTGCTCCCACAGTTGATTTCTTCAAACCAAGCTGCTTACCTATTGCAAATTCAGTCTTCCCAGCCTGGTGCAGGTCTACAATTTTGTTTCTGGTGTCCTTTGACAGCTCTTTGGTCTTGGCCATAGTGGAGTTTGGAGTGTGACTGTTTGAGGTTGTGGACAGGTGTCTTTTATACTGATAACAAGTTCAAACAGGTGCCATTAATACAGGTAACGAGTGGAGGACAGAGGAGCCTCTTAAAGAAGAAGTTACAGGTCTGTGAGAGCCAGAAATCTTGCTTGTTTGTAGGTGACCAAATACTTATTTTCCACCATAATTTTCAAATAAATTCATTAAAAATCCTACAATGTGATTTTCTGGAATTTTTTTCTTCTCAATTTGTCTGTCATAGTTGACGTGTACCTATGATGAAAATTACAGGCCTCTCTCATCTTGTGGGAGAACTTGCACAATTGGTGGCTGACTAAATACTTTTTTCCCCCACTGTAATTCACTTTGGCACCTTTACACTATAAATTGTGATACTGACTCAACAGAATGTCATTTAAGCCTGAGTTTCATGCTTTCTTCCATTCAGAATGGTGCACATGCTGCTGCCAGCCTACAGCAGACAGTACTGGACGCTGAGGGGGTCGGGCCTGGTCACAGCTGCCGACGAGGCTGAGAACCAGGACCTGGAGCACCTGGTCCTCAGGGAGAGGGGTGTGGTGTGGGCCGATCAGGAGAAGGGAGGGGAGCAGAAGGATGAGGAGACCCAGGCTGAAGGTTCTAGGCTTAGGCCAGAGCTCGCACCCATCCTGTCATTCTCACACCTCATCTGTCCCCATCAAAACAGTCCCTGCAGTAGTAAGTCATGACTTCACACCTTATGTTGTCTTAAAAACCCCAAAATATTTGAGTGTGTGTGCACCGCAGAATTGTTTGGCCAATTTGCTTGAACTCCCAGTGGCAATGATGACATGTCCTTTCCACCTGATGGGGTATACTACAAAGCAGGATCAATGAGTTAGCCAGCTAACTTTGATAAACAACCAGAAATAACTATTGATTTTCGGGTTCATTAAGAAAGCTAAAGTTAGATATGGGTTTTTGGTTGTTGAGTTAATTAGACTGTGCCCATTTCATGCTCATCTTTCTAGAAAATGTAAAGTTAATTCAGAATATTTTTGCAAGTTAGCTGGCCATAGATCTTGCTTTGTAGTATTACCCCCCTGGTCGACTGTTTAATCATCTGTTGTAGTGCTTTATTTTCAGGCCACCAGTGGCCATACAGCAATATCTGGTGGCCTTGGGCTATTGGGCTCTATTTACTGTTGATCATGGGAGCCTACACACATGGGAGCCACCATTCTCCAGGTCCTATCACACCCTTTATAACCCAGCACCAGTGCGCCATCAGGCCTCCTTTCATGACATTCAGCCCCTAGGAGACAATGGAGCGTGAACCAAAGCTGGCCAGCAATACTTAATTACTATGTTGCTGTCCATCATATGTCAGCAGGTGCACCCCGCACCTGTCCCCCTGCACCCGTCACATGCTTGTTTCCCTGTGTCTTTTATTTAGTATTTTTGGCCTTGTCCACTTGTGCTTGTAGTTGAGTGATACCCTGTAATTTGACCCTGCTTTCACAAGCCATGAGCACAAACGTATGATACCAGATCTCAATAGGTCCCGTCTGTTTGTTCTATTCCCTCCGTTTTCACCTTGCAATGACTATCCTGAAGACTACTGTTATTATTTATTTAACGCTACATTTATTTAAAGGCCCAGTGCAGTCAAAATGTGATTTTCCTCCATTTTATATATATTTTTACACTGAGGTTGGAATAATATGATGAAATTGTGAAAATTATGATAATAATTATTATAATAATATGCCATTTAGCAGACGCTTTTATCCAAAGCGACTTACAGTCATGCGTGCATACATTTTTACGTATGGGTGGTCCCGGGGATCGAACCCACTACCTTGGCGTTACAAGCGCTGTGCTCTACCAGCTGAGCTACAGAGGACCACACATAATGCCCTTTTAGTTTAAGAAAATACCATCAGAAATGTCTGCCTGTTTTGATGGCATTTTGGCCTGCCTGGTGACATCACCAAATGGTTAATTAGTTAATAAGAAACCGTTCCAAACCTCTCTGCTAATAACAGCTAGTTTTCTCTGCCAATAACCTCATTCGACCACTCCCAGACAGTCCACTAGCAAACTTCTTGCTTGAGAAATTGCTCTTTGCTAAAAAGCCATTTTTGTTTGTTTTCAATTAAAATGGTCAAAAATAATCACAGTAAGGAACTTAATTGTTACCCTGAAATGATTTCATATTTAGATTAAAATGGATGCATTGGACCTTTAACCCTTACCCTTGTGGGAATTGGATAGGGCTAAATTGATATGTTTCTTACAGAAGAAATATGGAAATGCATAACCATGGTAGAAATTAAAAGGGAACAGTTTGGAAATTATGGGAAAATGATTAGACTAAAGGTGAGGCCAACAGTTCAGCTGACACAAGACTGAATCCAAACATTACACTGTTGATTTTATGTGCATTTTACATTTACTGTCATTTTCACCGCTTTAGTTTTTTAACCAAATCTGAAAATACTCTCTGCAGTAACATGATAAGAATATTATTGGGAAATTTGAGGTAGGTGCAACATAAGACAAAAACATTTCAAGTTTTTTGAGTGAGAGGTCTAAATGATGTTTCCAAGTAGCCACACCTCTCAAGTGTGCACAGTTCCAAAGTAATTTCAATGCAGTTTTATGACTCAGAAGTCCTCAACTATAAGGTGCTTTTTTTTTTGCTCTCCTAGCTGTGCCGTTTAGGAATTAGAGCAAGCACACTGGTAGTTGTTTTATTTGGAATATAGCCCTGCATCCTTGCCTTTACACAATTACTGTTGTTTACGCAATCCAAACACTGTCAATTTTATAAATCACAATCTGGGTCAAGTGGGCAAAATGACTAGCAAAATTATAAAATACAATCTTAGTGTTAGGCTTTCACAAGGCCAATTCAGAGAAACAGATTGTAATTTTGGTGCGCATGGAATGGATGCACGAGTGCATTCAGATGCGTGGTCCGCCGCAAGTTTTCTTCACAATACAACAAATAGGCTTATTCTGTTCAGGACAACCCAGGGTATAACGCCATGTTATCTTGTAACTGTACATCAAACATAGTCAAACAAAGCGATATGTATTATAATCCTTTATCGTCTCATCTTTCAAAATACATAGAGTCCTCGTACTTTACAGCATTTCACTCACTCAGACATGTTTTCTAAAGTTGCTCAATTAGCGGGAGGGATGGGGGCATCTTCTTGTCGTGTGCGGTGTTCAGAACAGCTGTCAGTCAAAACCCATACAGCGCTGTGAAGCTCAGACCCTGAGATCTGAAGTCATGTATAGCATGTTACTGTACAGCCACTGCGTTCCAATTTAGGTGCTTATCAATGTTCAAATCTGCCATTTTCAACCCATATACGGGTACAAGTGTAAAGGGCTACCCATTCTTTAACCAGGCAAGTGTACAGCAGCAGACGTTGCTGCACAGCTCATGATGACTATTCACATTTGCCACAGCCAAATGCTGAGGCACGATTGTGTCTGTTCTATTGATAACTGTGCAGGCTGAGCTGTGACGCTAGTCATGCTGTGTGTTGTGCTGATAACTGGGGGGTGGCATGGTAGTCATGAAGGAGGCTGTGTTGTTGAACATACTGTTGTCTGTCACTCAGGTGCTGAGAAACATAAGAGGAGAGTCTCGCTGCGCCTTCAACCCAATCCATCATGGAAAGGTAAACCTGTCTTTACTCTCCAACAGGCCTGCTAACCTGGTCATTAATCTAACAGCTTGCCACATGGAATCCTTCATAGTGACTGTCGGAGGGGATCAAACATGTCCATCAAAGTCATCACTCCTGTGGTAAAAGCTCTGTTTCAGCTGTTAAGTGTTCATCAGCAATTTCACAGTTGTGATAAAACTTGTTTCAGGATTCACTAGTATAAACTTGATGTTAACAAAGACTGGAATGGTTAAAATAATGAACTGACAATATTAAACATCCCCACTGTAATGGTCAAACGGAAGTGAGAGGCCATGAGTAATATTGATCTGTGAATTAACAATGTGTTTTTTGTTTTATTCCCACTGATCACTGGTGTTTAGTGTAACAACTTAATTTCCCTTCTGCCATCCTCAAGAGATGATGGGATATCAATTGGCACTTCAACTGATTCTTAAACTAGGAAAAATAGGCAAACTGTTACAGAATAAACTACAAAAGTATTCCGAAATTAAATAGAATTTGATTTCCAGTTGTGCAGCACTGCAGACTTCCTGGTCTGGAACTAAATATATTTTATTGAAATGAAATAACACTCAAGACCCCTTTTAGAGAAAGAAAAGGACTGGGAAAACCTTTGGGAAATACAATAAGGAAGTATGTGAAATATGGCCGTCCAAATTGGCTGTAATGATATTTTCTGCTGAACAGGTGGTCTACATTTGATTGAAACACATTGTGGGAAACGTCGGCTACATTTGAAAGAAAACAACACCAGACGACCACAGTGCAACAACGGAAATGGCTTTAAAAACACTTTTTACTAATAACCTTCATAACCATTTAAAACGTAAAAAAAATTTGGGCGGATGACTGAAGACTGGGTGGCCGGGCATTTGTGCGGTTGAGTCTGTTTCTGCGGTAACATGGACTCTTAATAATGTGATGAAACTTTGTTGCTCCTTGCTGAAACAAGCAAGGTGTTGTAGCAAACATGTACTCGGTTGCCTAGGCTACAGCCCCTCCCTGCAGCAGCAGCACATGCAGTCAGGAGCAGAGCAATGTGCATATTTTATTTTGCTATTTGAGCAGTAATAATGGTGACCGGTCATTTGGCTGACCAATAACCATCATCCAAAATTCTATGACCGTCACAGCCCTACTTTTTGCACGTCTTTCTTATCTAGTTCAGAATTACTTTTTGTGATTGTGAATTACATGAATGTCCTTGACTTAAGGGTTTATCATAGTCCAAAACCTGTACACATCCGCACTACAGTGTTCTAGAATATTGGACCGTTGGCTTTCATACTTTTCTCATTCTGAGCGCAGCTCAAGCAATTTCTCCAACTGTCAACACTTTCAAATGAATAGAGGACAGGGACCGGGACCAGGGGCGCAACTTTGGTTTTAGAAGTGGGGGGTGGGGGGGGCATCAGCCTACCCGACCGCTCGGAGGCGTCCGCGTGGTCCTAAAGCACATCGTTGCCTCGTTTTGTATCACATTCCAATGATAAAACTGGGGGGGGGGACAAAACCCCGTCCCCCGTGAAAGTTGCGCCCCTGCGCTGGAATATCGAGTCTCAGTGTCTGGACTATGATTTAAGCTTTTGATATGAAATAAGATCTTGTCCAAGTCATGTTACCTGTTAGTGTGAAATCTTTGATTTATTCTGTGTTGGCGTAACTAGCATCAGAGCTTGATCATGATTGAGTATGGAGATCCTCCCTCTTCCAACCTCTTTATTACCGCACCATCTGTAAGTGGATGGGAGGGCAGGTCATCACACATGACCCTCTCAATAGGGTTCTACACCCCGCCAGTCCAATGCCTTGTACCCATCCCTTTATCTCCCCTCAGCACAGCATGGCCCACACAATTTCAATCACTCTTCTCTCTCTCCTCCAACCTTGTTCTGTACCAGTCTTACTTATTCCTGCTCGATCACACTCTACCTCCTTGCCCCCCTCCCCCTTTCCTCCATATCTTGTACTCAGTCAATCCAGCATCCAGCCCTCCCAACCCAGGCTGCTCAAACCTCATTCATGAAAATGCAAATTCACTGCAGGGAAAAGAAGGTAGGCAAGGCAAGCGTAAACGCCCCTGCCCCGTCAGCGAGAACAGTAGCAGTGCTATAAAGAGAGAGGCAGCAGCCAAGCGACCCTAATACGGCGCGGTCTCCACCAGAAATAGCACCTCATGCATGTATTAATCCTACAAGCCAAAAATATGTGATTGAAAGAACTTGGCTGCCATTTATTGCCGGGCCAGATCTCCGTCAGAGAAGCAGTACCATTTATCACTGTCCCCTCTATGGAGGACTAAAAGTGCCACAATTAAATAAATAAATACACCATTAAATAATTACTTAAATGTGTCATTAATTAATTCAAATTAGAATTAAATACATAAATGTGTAATTAAATGTTTCATTAATTAATTCAAATACCGATTCATTTTATGTAAAATACATATATAATTATTTCACTATTTACATTTACATTTCATGATCCTGCATTGCAGTGATTCATGAATTACTTAAAACTGTCAAACTGACCCATCAAAGTCAGTGGGCGGGGCTAACGCGAATCTAGTCTGATCCATTGCTTTGGTCTGAAGTAGAGTAGGCCAACCTGGATAGAGACAATGGAGGATCTCCGTGAACTTTCCAGGGAGTTGGTTAGAGACATTTTAAACTTAGCAGAGGATGTAGAAGCAGGACCTGCTGACATTATCCGGAATTGATTTGTCTTGGCTTGATGCAGAGGGTAACCAATCAGGCGTTAGGTTCCGCCTACCAACTTTTGATGGGTCAGTTTGACAGTTTTAAGTAATTCAGGAAGCACTCCAACGCAGGACCATGAAATGTAAATGTAAATAGTGAAATTATTATATATGTATTTTACATAAAATGAATCGGTATTTTAATTAATTAATGACACATTTAAGTAATTATTTAATGGTGTATTTATTTATTTAATTGTGGCACTTTTAGTCCTCCATACCCCTCACCCTGCCTTGTTATCTGAGCTGTGACTCAAATTTCCTAAATATTGCGTTCTGCTATCCACATTAATAAATAGGTCCATTAATCTTACATATCCCCCCCCCCCCCCCCCCCCCCCCCCCTTTTATGATACGCAAATATGTTGTTAAAAATGTGAGCATTGTCACTTAAAAGCTTCTACATTAAACAATTAGTTGCTTGTTCTATTTTGTCTGTGGGGGGGGTGATGTTTGAGTTGGCAAATTGATATATCAAATCCACCACCACACAGTTCACATTTCTGGGAATTGCCTCCTCAGTAAAATGTAGGAGGTAGGAAGCAGTGTCACAGATCTGTGGTCAGCAGCATGTAAATGATGCATCCGCAGTGTCTCACTGAAACAAGTGAGTCTGCCTCCTCATGCTGTGATGCAACGTGCTCTCCACTTTACTTTTACACACCAGCGTTTAACCTCTAACAACCCTGCTTGTGTATGTTATTTTGGTGACATCATCCTCAATCTCAGCCAGGTGTTATCATAGTCTAGCTATTCCCGTAATTTGTTTAATTTATGAATGTTCATAAGTTTAAGCTCTTTTATTACAGAATTAAATCCCAAAGTTCTGTTCATAACATTTATCAAATATAGCTAGGCCGGTTAATGGAAGACACATTTATATTAAAATGACTTTGGTGTATATTAAAAATAAATTGTGTAGCCTATAACAATTATTCCCATTTAATCAGTTGTATGTAAAGTTAGTTGTATCTAAATTGGTCTTGATCAAATGTCCAATAATTAACAGTATGTAGCGTGTATGACTCATCCTCACTGATGACTAATATGGTGACCATTCAGTGTAGCTGTATCTTTTATGCGACAGGTTGTTCAGCGTGAGTCATCCATCATGGCTAGTGATTGTGAACCACTTATACCATGAAAAACGTAGGCCTAACATAGGATGTGTCCACTCCTGTTTTGTCGGCCATAAGTTGTTTTCCCTCATTCCCTGCTTTGTGTTCCATAAGGACTTTATGTGGCCTTGTTATGTTTGCTTGATTGGTTAAAAGTCCAATGCAGCAGTTTTTATCTCAATATCAAATAATTTCTGGATAACAATTAAGTACCTTACTGTCATTGTATTCCATTAAAATGGTCAAAAATGAACAAAAATAGCTTCTTAGCAAAGAGCAATTTCTCAAGCAAGAATTGTTCTAGGACTGTCTGGGAGTGGTCTGAGTGGGGAGGGGAAAACTGAAAACAAGCTGTTATTGGCAGAGCGGTTTGGAACTCTCTTATTGGTCTATTAACTAGTTTACTGTCTGGTGATGTCACAAGGCATGCCAAAACTCCATCCCACCAAAACAGGCTGACATTTCAGTATTTTCAAACAGCTCTTATTAAACTAAGAGGGCATTATAATTTTCATAATTTCACAGTATTGTTCCAACCTAATAATGTGGAAAATATACACAGTATACAAAACGTTATGAACACTGACCAGGTGAAAGCTATAGTCCCTTATTGATGTCATTTGTTAAATCCACTTCAATCAGTGTAGATGAATGGGAGGAGACTGGTTAAAGAAGGATTTATGAGACGATTGAGACATGGCTTGTGTATGTGTGCCATTGAGGGTGAATAGGCAAGATAAAAGACGTGCCTTTGGACAGGGTATGATAGTAGGTGCCAGGCGCACCGGTTTGTGTCAAGAACTGCAATGCTGCTGGGTTTTTCACGCTCAACAGTTTCTAATGTGTATCAAGAATGGTCCACCACCCAAAGCATATCCAGCCAACTTGACACAACTGTGGGAAGCATTGGAGTCAACATGAGCCAGCCTGTAGAACGCATTCAACACCTTGTAGAGTCCGTGCCCTGACAAATTGAGGCTGTTCTGAGGGCAAAAGGGGGTGCAACTCAGTATTAGGTGTTCTTAATGTTTTGTACACTCAGTGTATATAAAACACAGGAAAATCATGTTTTTGACTGCACTGGGCCTTTAAGTCTTGGTTTCTTTGAAACATCTAATTATTCTATTTTTCTTTTGCCTTATTCGATTTGATTCATTTTCTTCTTTCCCTTACTTAGCCATCTTCCATGTCACAGTACCTGGGCTTGTGTCGGGGCTGGTGAAACTCAATTTGTGAGCATGAATGTGTCCAGGCCCTTACTCCCTTACACCTCTGATTTAATGTCTGCACTGTGTAAAGGTCACCAGGTTCACTTTCTTTGGGTACCTCTACACTTCTCCAACTGCCAAAAGATGAGAACCCATATTAGGCCTACTGCAGACATGGACTTCTCCTTTCAGTATTTTACAAAAAGGTTATTCCTTTGTCTTTCAATGGTGGTGATACTCTGTATCTTCTTTTTATACCGGCGCCACCTAAGATCTATTCAGATGTGATTTAGTTTCTTTAAAAAAATGATTATTGTGCTCTAACACACATGGTAAGGCCATGCAGAGGTTAAAGTTCTCCGGAGGGTGATTATTTTGGGTAAAAAAAATGTTTTACAACTCTCCAGACAACACTTGACCGTCTAAGACTAGATAGAAAGTATGTAGAAATTGTAATGGACATACACTACCGGTCAAAAGTTTTAGAACACCTACTCATTCAAGGGTTTTTCTTTATTTTTACTATTTTCTACATTGTAGAATAATACTAAAGACATCAAAACTATGAAATAACACATTAAATCATGTATTAACCAAAAAAGTGTTAAACAAATCAAAATATATTTGAGATTCTTCAAATAGCCACCCTTTGCCTTTGACAGCTTTGCACACTCTTGGCATTCTCTCAAACCAGCTTCACCCGGTTTTCCAACAGTCTTGAAGGAGTTCCCACATATGCTGAGCACTTGTTGGCTGCTTTTTCTTCACTCTGCCGTCCGACTCATCCCAAACCATCTCAATTGGGTTGAGTTCGGGGGATTGTGGAGGCCAGGTCATCAGATGCAACACTCCATCACTCTCCTTCTTGGTAAAATAGCCCTTACACAGCCTGGAGGTGTGTTGGGTCATTGTCCTGTTGAAAAACAAATGATAGTAGCTCAGTTGGTAGAGCATGGCGGTTGCAACGCCAGGGTTGTGGGTTCGATTCCCACGGGGGACTAGTAGGGGGGAAAAATAAAATAATGTATGCACTCACTACTGTAAGTCGCTCTGGATAAGAGCGTCTGCTAAATGACTAAAATGTAATAGTCCCACTAAGCCCAAACCAGTTGGGATGGCGTATCGCTGCAGAATGCTGTGGTAGCCATGCTGGTTAAGTGTGCCTTTGAATTCTAAATAAATCACAGACAGTGTCACCAGCAAAGCACTCCCACAACATAACACCACCTCCATGCTTTACGGTGGGAACTACACATGTGGAGATCATCCGTTCACCCACACCGCGTCTCACAAAGACACAGCGGTTGGAACCAAAAATCTCCAATTTGGACTCCAGACCAAAGGAAAAATCTCCACCGGTCTAATGTCCGTTGCTCGTGTTTCTTGGCCCAAGCAGGTCTCTTCTTCTTATTGGTGTCCTTTAGTAGTGGTTTCTTTGCAGTAATTCGACCATGAAGGCCTGATTCACACAGTCTGAACAGTTGATGTTGACATGTGTCCATTATTTGAACTCTGTGAAGCATTTATTTGGGCTGCAATTTCTGAGCCTGGTAACTCTAATGAACTTATCCTCTCCAGCAGAGGTAACGCTGTGTCTTCCATTCCTGTGTCGGTCCTCATGAGAGCCAGTTTCATCATAGCGCTTGATGGTGTTTGCGACTGCACTTGAAGATACTTTCAAAGTTCTTGAAAATGTCCATATTGACTGACCTTGATGTCTTAAAGTAATGATGGACTGTCGTTTCTCTTTGCTTATTTGAGCTGTTGTTGCCATAACATGGACTTGGTCTTTTACCAAATAGGGCTATCTTCTGTATACCACCCCTACCTTGTCACAACACAACTGATTGGCTCAAACACATTAAGTAGGAATTAATTACACAAATTAACTTTTAAGAAGGCACACCTGTTCATTGAAATGCATTCCAGGTGACTACCTCATGAAGCTGGTTGAGAGAATGCCAAGAGTGTGCAAAGCTGTCATCAAGGCAAAGGGTGGCTATTTTGAAGAATCTCAAATATAAAATATATTTTGATTTGTTTAACAGTTTTTTGGTTACTACATGATTTTATGTGTATATATATATGTTTTTTTTGTCATTTAGCAGACACTCTTATCCAGAGCGACCTACAGTTAGTGAGTGCATACATTTTGTTTTTTTCATAGTTTTGATGTCTTCACTATTATTCTACAATGTAGAAAATAGTAAAAATAAAGAAAAACCCTTGAATGAGTAGGTGTTCTAAAACTTTTGACTGGTAGTGTATATATTTTCAAATAACTGCCCTTTTTCATGCCCGCAAATCGATTTTGACAATAGATATGTGCTGCAATTCGTTGAATTTCGAAATCCCAATGTGTCCCTCAAGCCAAATAGTTTCCAGCTGATCTGAGATCAACTTAAGTTTCAGTCATGGGATTTTAAAAAACTTTAATCCCTGGGCCATGTATGACATTGCTATGGCAAACTGCTGCCATGTTGTTAGTGAATACCCACATGCTGAAGCCGACGGGCTGCTGTGATTTAGACTGGATAATGCGTTCTTATCTTGTTCTTGAGCTCAAACTAGTAAACCATGTAGGAAGGCCTCACCAACCACTAACAGAAAAAGGTGTATTGCTGAACAGGATGAACCCTGGACCCTGTTCAGGAAGAAGCAAGGTTATAGAACTCTCCCATATGAATGTGTGTAGAACAGATGTGAATGTTTGTCAAGTAAAATATGGAACTCTTTACATTTTATATCCGCAACATTCTGAAGGTCTTACCGTACTGAATACATCCAAGTTGTATACACTTCCATGTAAGTGCTTGGTGGAGGATGTTTTGAATGACTTTATAGAAATGAATTGTTGTTATTTATATAAGTCAGGGTTGGGGTCAATTCCATTTGACCTCTATCAATTAAATTAAGTGATTTGAAGAGCTAGGCCTAAATTGAAACATCCTCTAATTGTCAATTAGCAGTACATGGATTGGACTGTATTAAAATGGAATTGACCTTGATGAAGTGTGTTGTGTAACTTGTTTTGCACATTTATTTGATAATGTAAGGCCTAAATTTGTTAGGTTCTTTGTGGCTTCTTCATAAAATAGAAATCCTATTGGTGTTGTTTTCTAGGTCCAGCGGCCCAGGTGACAGTGATGGAACCCATTCCCAAGAAACCTACCAGGAGGAAGCTTGCAGTGTCTCCACCAAACCCTGGGAGTGTTGTCTCCGCTTCAGCACAGGGTCCCATGGTCCTCCAGGAGGTGTTGAGACAGGAGGGGATGTTTCCACTGCTCTACACTCCAGAGGCCAGCAGTACACTCAACAGGCCTTCACTCCTGCCTCTCCAGCACTCTGCAGTCAATGACCCCAACATGACGTTTGACATTGAAGATGAAGACAATGAAGCAGCTCTTGCCAACGCTACCATTGTCCTTTACCAATGTAGTCCCAATCATCAAGCTGAGTCTTCGTGCCCCTTGGGTCCAAGCCAACAGCAGGCTCCCCGAGCCAATAACATGAGCAGACCCCCCAAAAGGTGGGTGTGGTATTGTCAAAGATGGTCATCATACTCCGTAATTCCAACAGTCCAATTTAATATTAGCTGCTGAACAATGTAAAACAATACATACATTCATAGATTTAGACATTCTCAATAGAAATCCTTTTTAAGCCATGGCTTTGCCTCTCTTACTATTTCAACGATTCACATTTTTATTTTACACATTTTGTCCCAGGAGACAGACTGACAGAAATTGTATTAGAGTTCGAGCCCCTCCAAGTACGTATTTCTAAACCTTGAGCTGCCTTGTCTTAAGTTTTAGGTACGAGCAAGTGGCAGTGAGAGAGCTCAGAATTGTCTAACGTAACAGAGTGCTGTACTTATTCCAGTGTGTTTATTTGTTTTGGTCACATGTAAGAGACTGTTCAAATATTGAGAAGGAAAGTGACATTGCCAGTCTTGTGTCCCACAGACTGGAGATACCGTCTCTGTTAGACATCCGACGTGGCAAAACCTACATGACCATGACTTCGGCTGCGCAGGGCAAACGCAAAATGAACTGGTGAGTGTGGTTGTGACATACTCTAAATACATTTTTCAGGGAAGGAAGTGTTGTACTGCTCAGATAGTCACGTATTTCATCTCTTGTGTTTCCATCTCCCCCTGTAGCAGCAGCAGAGAGCAGGAAAGCCTTTCAGCACCCAAGCGCATAAAGCAGGACCCCACAGTAGCAGCAAGCAGACCGCTAAGAGTGCGTCGCTTTGCTGGTGAGTGCAACAATACCAGTATTTCTCCCCTGAAGCGACCCAGAGAAAGAGTGTAATTGTCTTTCATTAACTATTTATAAAATATATTAAATGTGTGCCTTTTTCCCCATCTAAAATCCCCATGTTGATTTCAGTTAGTGGTGCTTACACACAGAGCTTAGGCCTACATCTGTCAGCTGCAACACAAAGTTCAGGGCAGGGCCAGAATGTGCTTTTTTGAATATGCCTGTTATGAAGAACACTTGCTTTTAGAAAGCCAGGCTGTTTTTAATCTACAGTGAAGGAGCTTGTCTGCCTGTTACGTATGGCCCTTATTCTTTTATTTTGAAGGATTTTCTTTGGCTTTTGGACAAAACTGCAGAATTTGGTTTCTCATCAGATGGCATACTTTTGGTGTGATGTGTTTTTGACAGCGGTTAGTTTTGTTTGATTTATGTACAGTTGAAGTCGGAAGTTTACATACACTTAGGTTGGAGTCATTAAAACTTGTTTTTCAACCACTCCACAAATGTCTTGTCAACAAACTATAGTTTTGGCAAGTCGGTTAGGACATCTACTTTGTGCATGACACAAATAATTTTTCCAACAATTGTTTACAGACAGATTATTTCACTTATAATTCACTGTATCACAATTCCAGTGGGTCAGAAGTTTACATACACAAAGTTGACTGTGCCTTTAAACAGCTTGGAAAATTCCAGAAAATGATGTCATGCTTTAGAAGCTTCTGATAGGCTAATTGACATAATTTGAGTCAATTGGAGGTGTACCTGTGGATGTATTTCAAGGCCTACCTTCAAACTCAGTGCCTCTTTGCTTGACATCATGGGTAAATCAAACGAAATCAGCCAAGACCACAGAAAAGTCTGGTTCATCCTTGGGAGCAATTTCCAAACGCCTGAAGGTACCACTTTCATCTGTACAAACAATAGTACGCAAGTATAAACACCATGGGACCACGCAGCCGTCATACCGCTCAGGAAGTAGACTCGTTCTGTCTCCTAGAGATGAACGTACTTTGGTGCGAAAAGTGCAAATCAATCCCAGAACAACAGCAAAGGACCTTGTGAAGATGCTGGAGGAAACAGGTACAAAAGTATCTATATCCACAGTAAAACGAGTCCTATATCAACATAACCTGAAAGGCCGCTCAGCAAGGAAGAAGCCACTGCTCCAAAACCGCCATAAAAAAGTCAGACTACGGTTTGCAACTGCACATGGGGACAAAGATCGTACTTTTTGGAGAAATGTCCTCTGGTCTGATGAAACAAAACTAGAACTGTTTGGCCATAATGACCATCGTTTTATGTTTGGAGGAAAAAGGGGGTGCATTGCAAGCCGAAGGACACCATCCCAACCGTGAAGCACGGGGGTGGCAGCATCATGCTGTGGGGGTGCTTTGCTGCAGGAGGGACTGGTGCACTTCACAAAATAGATGGTATCATAAGGAAGGAAAATTATGTGGATATATTGAAGCAACATCTCAAGACATCAGTCAGGAAGTTGAAGCTTGGTCGCAAATGGGTCTTCCAAATGGACAATGACCCCATGCATACTTCCAAAGTTGTGGCAAAATGGCTTAAGGACAACAAAGTCAAGGTATTGGAGTGGCCATCACAAAGCCCTGACCTCAATCCTATAGAAAATGTGTGGGCAGAACTGAAAAAGTGTGTGCAAGCAAGGAGGCCTACAAACCTGACTCAGTTACACCAGCTCTGTCAGGAGGAATGGGCCAAAATTCACCCAATTTATTGACCCAAAACGTTTGACCCAAGTTAAACGATTTAAAGGCAATGCTACCAAATACTAATTGAGTGTATGTATATTAAACTTCTGACCCACTGGGAATGTGATTAAATAAATAAAAGCTGAAATAAATCATTCTCTCTACTATTATTCTGACATTTCACATTTTTTAAATAAAGTGGTGATCCTAACTGACCTGAAACAGGGGATTTTTACGAGGATTAAATGTCAGGAATTGTGAAAAACTGAGTTTAAATGTATTTGGCTAAGGTGTATGTAAACTTCCGATTTCAACTGTATGTTCAGTAATCTAAAATAACCAACTCTTTTAATAATTAGATTTTCACACCGCAAAGGAAAAATATTATATTATAATCTCTCCATACAGATGGGGGCTCTAACTAAGCATTGTGTTTCTCCTTAGGGTCAGAGGAGAACGAGCCCAGAAGAGTTATGAGGAGTGTTTCTGAGGGGAATCTCCACCTCATGGATGTTCAGAAGAAAAAGTCCATATTCTATAAAACCTCCCAGAAATTCAAGAGTGGTGACAAAGAGGATGTGGACCTGCTTTTGGCCAGATGTTGCTCAATGCTTGTAGATATTGGGGAATCGTGTGTAGGTATGGAGAGAGAGAAATTAAGTCCTATGGATTTCTTGAATATGTTTTGCTTGAATTGTGTATGATTCTGAACTTGTACTTAGTTTTATTTCTACATTAAATTTTTTGTACAGATCATTGCTATTGTTATTTAGTAATAAAAGTTTTTTGTTAACTAGTAATGTATGTGGTTGTTTTTACCATGAATATATCCACTCGTCCAATCATTTTCTTTCGAATGGTTCATTTCTGGGCTTTCCCCCGTTTAGTGTACATATATTTCCTTTCAATATTTAAAATTTAACGGAAGGGGTAGATTTAGTTATCAGACATGCATTTACTGTCAAATCATGTTGCCATGATGTGAATGCTGTTGACATGGAGACTTGTGAGTTCGTTCATTCCGCTTGTAAAACCCCTTGTATAGGGAAACTAATTCACCTGTGAAACTCTTTTCACGTTCAATATCAGGCTACACATAACAGAAATGAAGGCTCATAAAATATTATGTTGAACAGTTAAGAATTCCTACTCACTGAGATGTAGATTTCAGTCATTTACCCGACGCTATTATCCAGAGTGACTTACGTTAGCGAGTGTACTATTTTTATTTTTTTCATACTGGCCCCCGTGGGAGTCGAACCCACAACCCTGGCATTGCAAAGCCATGCTCTACCAACTGAGCTATATTTCCCCGGCCAATCCTTCCCCTAACCTGGACGACGCTGGGCCAATTGTGCGCCGCCCCATGGGTCACGGCGGCTTCGACAGAGCCTGAATTTTTTTCTGAGTCTTTGGTGATTTCTTTGATTTCCCTGATGTCACAAGAGGCACGGAGTTTGAAGGTATCCTTGAATTTCAAAATGCAAATCAATTTATAACATTTGACATGCGTTTTTCTGGATTTTGTTGTTGTTATTCTGTCTCTCACTGTTCAATAAACCTACCATTAAAATTATAGACTGATCATTCTTTGTCAGTGGGCAAACGTACAAAATCAGCAGGGGATCAAATACTTTTTTCCCTCACTGTATATCCACAGTAAAACGAGTCCTATATCAACATAACCTGAAAGGCCGCTCAGCAAGGAAGAAGCCACTGCTCCAAAACCGCCATAAAAAAGTCAGACTACGGTTTGCAACTGCACATGGGGACAAAGATCGTACTTTTTGGAGAAATGTCCTCTGGTCTGATGAAACAAAACTAGAACTGTTTGGCCATAATGACCATCGTTTTATGTTTGGAGGAAAAAGGGGGTGCATTGCAAGCCGAAGGACACCATCCCAACCGTGAAGCACGGGGGTGGCAGCATCATGCTGTGGGGGTGCTTTGCTGCAGGAGGGACTGGTGCACTTCACAAAATAGATGGTATCATAAGGAAGGAAAATTATGTGGATATATTGAAGCAACATCTCAAGACATCAGTCAGGAAGTTGAAGCTTGGTCGCAAATGGGTCTTCCAAATGGACAATGACCCCAAAGTCAAGGTATTGGAGTGGCCATCACAAAGCCCTGACCTCAATCCTATAGAAAATGTGTGGGCAGAACTGAAAAAGTGTGTGCAAGCAAGGAGGCCTACAAACCTGACTCAGTTACACCAGCTCTGTCAGGAGGAATGGGCCAAAATTCACCCAATTTATTGTGGGAAGCTTGTGGAAGGCTACCCGAAACGTACTCCTGAGTGGCGCAGTGGTCTAAGGCACTGCATCGCAGTGCTAACTGTGCCACTAGAGATCCTGGTTCGAATCCAGGCTCTGTCGCCGCCGGCCGCGACCGGGAGACTCATGGGCGGCGCACAATTGGCCCAGCGTCGTCCAGGGTAGGGGAGGGAATGGCCGGCAGGGATGTAGCTCAGTTGATAGAGCATGGCGTTTGCAACGCCAGGGTTGTGGGTTCGATTCCCACGGGGGGCCAGTATAAAAAAATAATATGTATTCACTAACTGTAAGTCGCTCTGGATAAGAGCGTCTGCTAAATGACTAAAATGTAAATGTAAAATGTTTGACCCAAGTTAAAAAATGTAAAGGCAACGCTACCAAATACTAATTGAGTGTATGTATATTAAACTTCTGACCCACTGGGAATGTGATGAAATAAATCATTCTCTCTACTATTATTCTGACATTTCACATTTTTTAAATAATGTGGTGATCCTAACTGACCTGAAACAGGGGATTTTTACGAGGATTAAATGTCAGGAATTGTGAAAAACTGAGTTTTAATGTATTTGGCTAAGGTGTATGTAAACTGCCGACTTCAACTGTATGTTCAGTAATCTAAAAATAACCAACTCTTTTAATAATTGGATTTTTCGCACCGCAAAGGAAACATATTATATTATAATCTCTCCATACAGATGGGGGCTCTAACTAAGCATTGTGTTTCTCCTTAGGGTCAGAGGAGAACGAGCCCAGAAGAGTTATGAGGAGTGTTTCTGAGGGGAATCTCCACCTCATGGATGTTCAGAAGAAAAAGTCCATATTCTATAAAACCTCCCAGAAATTCAAGAGTGTGACGAAGAGGATGTGAGACCTGCTTTTGGCCAGATGTTGCTCAATGCTTGTAGATATTGGGGAATCGTGTGTAGGTATGGAGAGAGAGAAATTAAGTCCTATGGATTTCTTGAATATGTTTTGCTTGAATTGTGTATGATTCTGAACTTGTACTTAGTTTTATTTCCTACATTAACATTTTTTGTACAGATCATTTGCTATTGTTATTTAGTAATACAAGTTTTTGTTAACTAGTAATGTATGTGGTTGTTTTTACCATGAATATATCCACTCGTCCAATCATTCTTTTTTCGAATGGTTCATTTCTGGGCTTTTCCCTGTTTAGTGTACATATATTTCCTTTCAATATTTAAATTTAACGGAAGGGGTAGATTTAGTTATCAGACATGCAGTTGTACTGTCAAGTCATGTTGCCATGCATGTGAATGCTGTTGACATGGAGACTTGTGATGTTCGTTCATTCCGCTTGTAACCCATCTGTATAGGGAAACTCATTCACCTGTGAAACTCTTTTCACTGTTCAATATCAGGCTACACATAAACAGAAATGAAGGCTCATAAAATATTATGTTGAACAGTTAAGAATTCCTACTCACTGAGATTTAGATTTTAGTCATTTAGCAGACGCTCTTATCCAGAGCGACTTACAGTTAGCGAGTGCATACATAATTTTTTAATTTTTCATACTGGCCCCCCGTGGGAATCGAACCCACAACCCTGGCGTTGCAAACGCCATGCTCTACCAACTGAGCTATATCCCTGGCCAATCCTTCCCCTAACCTGGACGACGCTGGGCCAATTGTGCGCCGCCCCATGGGTCACGGCCGGCTTCGACAGAGCGTGACTTTTTTCTGAGCTCTTGGCTGATTTCTTTTGATTTTCCCATGATGTCAAGCAAAGAGGCACGGAGTTTGAAGGTATGCCTTGAAATATATCCACAGGTACACCTCCAATTTACTCAAATTATGTCAATTAGCCTATCAGAAGCTTCTAAAGCCATGACATCATTTTCTGGAATTTTCCAAGCTGTTTAAAGGCGCCGTCAACTTAGTATATGTAAACTTCTGACCCACTGGAATTGTGATACAGTGAATTATAAGTGAAATAATCTGTCTGTAAACAATTGTTGGAAAAATGACTTGTGTCATGCACAAAGTAGATGTCCTAACCGACTTGCCAAAACTAGTTTGTTAACAAGAAATTTGTGGAGTGGTTGAAAAACGAGTTTTAATGACTCCAACCTAAGTGTATGTAAACCTCTGACTTCAACTGTATATCTTCAGATAAAAAAAATCGGACTTACAATATGTCTGGAAAGAAGCCAACTCGTCACTTTGAATTCAGTCTTTCAGTTGCACAGCATCCAATGTGATCTTTATTTTTAGCCAGGAAGGTCAATGCCAGGTGCACAGATGGGTTTACCTGTGCTGAGCACACGCCCCTTTGCACTCCCAAACACAGAGTGACCTTTTGGGTGGTTGTATAAAGTGTCTTCAGAAATTATTCACACCTGTTGACTTTTTCCATATTTTATTTTGTTACAGCCTGAATTTAATAGATTACATTTAGATTTTGTGTCACTCGCCTACACACAATACCCCATAATGTCAGAGGAATTATGTTTTTAGAAATGTTTACAAATTAATTAATGAAAAGCTCATGTCTTGAGTGAATAAGTATTCAACCCTTTTGTTATGACAAGCCTAAATAAGTTCAGGAGTAAAAATTTGCTTAATATGTTGCATGGACTCACTCTGTGCAATAAGTGTTTTTACAATTTTTAAATGACTACCCCATCTCTGTACCCCACACATACAATTATCTGTAAGATCCCTCAGTCGCGCAGTGAATTTCAAGCACAGATTCAACCACAAAGACCAGGGAGATTTTCCAATGCCTCGCAAAGAAGGGCACCTATTGGTAGATGTAAAAAAAAAAATGACGTGAATATCCGTTTGAGCATGGTGCAGTTATTAATTACACTTTGGATGGTGTATCAATACACCTAGTCACTACAAAGATACAGGCGCCTTTCCTAACTCAGATGCCGGAGAGGAAGGAAACCGCTCAGAGATTTCACCATGAGGCCAATGGTGATTTTAAATCAGAGTTTAATGGCTGTGAGGATGGATCAACGACATTTACTTACTCCACAATACTAACATAAATGAGAATGAACAGAATACAAATATTCCAAAACATGCAGCATGTTTGCAATATGGCACTAAAGTAATACTGCAAAGAAATTAACTCGTCCTGAATACAAAGTGTTATGTTTGGGGCAAATCCAACACTTCACTGAGTACCACTCTTCAAATTTTCAATCATGGCAGTGGCTGCATCATGGTATGGGTATGCTTGTCTTCAGCAAGGACTAGGGAGTTTTTTTTTTGTATATATAAGAAATGGTATAGAGCTAAGCACAGGCAAAATCCTAGAGTAAAACTTGGTTCAGTCTGCTTTCCAACAGACACTGGGAGACAAACTCACCTTTCAGCAGGACAATTACCTAAAACAGAAGGCCAAATATTAACTGGAATTGCTTACCAAGACGACATTGAATGTTCCTGAGTGGCCTATTTAGTTTTGACTTAAATCGGCTTGAAAATGTATGGCAAGGCTTGAAAATGTCTGTCTAGCAATGTTCAACAACCAACTTGACAGAGCTTGAAGAATTTTTTTAAGAATAATGGTCAAATATTATACAATGCAGGTGTGCAAAGCTGTAATCGCTTCCAAAGTTGATTCTAACATGTATTTTGGAAAAAGTCATGGGGTGTGAATACTTTCTGAAGGCACTGTATACATATCTTTTTTAATCGTTTTTGTTGTTGTTCTGAACCCACTGCCCGCAAGTCGTCATGGGCCTGTTGGTCTGCCCTGTATAGAGCTCCGCGCGCCTGTTTTCCAGTCTGCCCTGTATGGAGATTGCGCACGCCCGGTATCCAAACGTGCATTGCTTGAGATGCGTTGACCGGTCAAGTGTGTGTAGCCAGCTGCCACAGCAGCATAACATTTGATTAACACTTGATAACACTTGATTTACGTCATCATCAATATTGGGTCTGGTTGGCTGATACGCGCAGCAGAGAGACAGAAAGACAGAGAGAGGAGCGGCTGAATCAACGACCCTCCGACTCAACTCCATCCCTTATTCAGTCGGGAGTTGCACATGTGTGTCAGGGCAGCAGCAGCAACACAGGTAGTCTAGACTCTAGCTAACCACCACTCAAATATCCACACAAGCCACCAGCCAGCCATATATCATGAGTTAGAAGATTATGAATATTATATTATGAAGTTATTCTTTTAAAACTTTTAATTTTGAGCACCTACCCACTGAAAGGTCTATGCACGGCGCTGCTCAATGCAAACATCAGCACTCTACTGTGTAAATACTGACGCCTCTCTCATTCACAAGAAACTCTTCATTGTGTTTTTTTTTTCTCCAAGAGAGGCAGGTCTTGACTAAAGTGAGCCAATGAGGTGACAACTGCGTTTTACCCACTGACCAATGGGACAGATTGAGAGGTTGTAGGTGGATGTTGCTTAGCAACTGCAGGTAGAATCTAGGATCATGTTGGTATCATTGTCTTATCTTACCTCCCAGAGCGACATCACGTTATGTGTTGTGACTTTTAAGATTACAAAATGTGAAGTTCTTAAGTCTGTTTTTTTATACTTAAATTAAAACCTCATTGCCTTTCATAATGTCACTGCGCAGTGTCCCTTTAAGGCAGACCACTTTTAATTTAATAAGATAAATACCCAAAGCCTATACTGAGTGTACAAAACATTAAGGACACCTGCTCTTCCAATGACATAGACTAACTGACCAGGTGAATCCAGGTGAAAGCATGTCACTTGTTAAATCCACTTCACTTACTGTAGATGAAGGGGAGGAGTCAGATTAAAGCCTTGAGACAGTTGAGACATGAATTGTGTATGTGTACCATTCAGATGGCGAATGGGCAAGACAAAATATGTAAGTGCCTTTGAATGGGGTATGGTTGTAGGTGCCAGGCGCACCGGTTTGTGTCAAGAACTGCAACGCTGCTGGGTGTTTCACGCTCAACAGTTTCTTGTGTGTATCAAGAATGGTTCACCACCCAAAGGACATCCAGCCAACTTGACACAACTGTGGGAAGCATTGGAGTTCCTAATGTTTGGTATACTCAGTGTATACTGCCAACCCATTGGAAAATGCCTTCCTTAATTGAGAGGTAAATGTGTTATAGTACTTAATCAATGACCAGATTTTCTACTGGAGAATAATGAGGCATGTCTACTATTATCAAATGTATACTGCTAACTGCTGTAGTTATAGTTGTGCTATTAAAAAACATTAATATGACTAAATGAAACCTTTATTCACATACTTTCCTTGATCCTATGTTCTTTATCGTCAGGTTGCATCTTGTATAATTGTATGATTTTCCAGCTGAGGGGAGTTTGGCTGGACCTTTAAGGGAGGCTAATACTGATATAGCTGAGCGCGAGAGAGAGCATGATTTGGCGGGTAGATGCTGAAGTTTAAGACAGATTGCAGCTTGCTGTTTTCCATGACTGGTAAGCAGGAAAACATGCACAGACTCCCACACAAACATACGCACTCCCCTCCTACAATGCTGCCGTCTCCCACAAGGCAGCGCGTCACAGCTGTGATCCTTTTGTCTCTTCACTAATTAGAGAAACTGAAGTCTTAAGACTTCTTCTTGAGTGGAGGACTGCTTTTTATTGTTTGTCATCCCCCTTCTTTCTTCCAATAGTTTTTCAGCTCTTACTTTTACTTAACTACACTTTTCTCTGTGGAGTGTCTTGGTTCGGTTTATCTTTGTAGGTGGGTGTGTTTCTGTAAGTCCGTTTCTCAACCCAAGTCCAAAAAGGATATATTAAATGTAGAGATCAGGCAAGGTGACATAATACTATTTGTAGGAGAGACATCATCACCCAAAAATAAACACAAATTGTAATTATCAAAAAAGAAGGATGGAGAAAACCTCTTGAGATTCACTCAGGAGGGTCCAATACAAGTATAAAAAAATCCTCTTACACAAGTAATATCACAGTAATGACAATCATTATAAACCACAAAACAAGAGCATGTCAACAGAACACAAACTCACCTACAGACAAATAGAAGTCAAGTTCTTCAATGCACCTTGTGGAAACATAATCTAGTCATAAATGTCACTACAGAATACTAAATTACTCTTTGCTTGCATACACTTAAATACATTAAGACTT